TTGCCTCCATTTTGGTCGGATCTAAGCCTTTTATCTGCAATTTTCCCCTCCCTTGCGGCTGTTAGAAAAATCTAGATCTAGCAGGATTCCAATGCTGTCTGACGTCACCATCACCACCACTACCTTCCCCCACTCATCCTCAACAAAACCCATCCATCTCCCACCCTCGTCCGCCTCCATTTTGGCTAGATCTGAGCCTTTTCTCCCTATTTTCCCTTCCCTTGCAACTGTTGGAAAAATTCAAATCTATTTGGGGTTAAAAAGTAATTTACTAACTTATTTGTAAGGGTAGTTTGGTAATAACACTCTCCATATTGTGTTAGAATCCAAAAATCATTCACGGTGTTAATTTAAGAGTGGAAATATGAGATAAATGAAACCAAGAGTGGGAACTTGGATTTTCGCTAATCTTTGGGTGGGAACATCTCGTTTACTCTTCTCATATTAAACACATCAATTTCCAGCCTTACTTTTTAATATTTTGTTTCCTTCCTATTTAACTCTTTGTTGCCAATGTAATTTATCATTAATTATAACTTGTATATTGATGATACCTCATAACTATTTGTACTCTCAACTAATCCTCCAGAGTCTTAAAGTTAAGCATGGAGTATATATAACCTCCTATGGCTATCCCTATTAGGGACTGATACTCTGGAGTCTTGAAGTTAAAGACCAAGTATAACCTCTCATGGTAATTCCTATTAGGAATTAATGTGACTCGAACTCAGGACCTCTTGAGTAATACACTTAAGAGTTCATGTCCAACCACTCGGTCACTCAGGGTGATTAATTTCACTCTATTATTAAAACCAAAAGATAGAGATTCTTACGGCAGAATGATGAATTAACACCTTAATATTAGTTATTGTTGCAAGAAATTGCATTTAATAAACATTATCACACGAGAATGCACTTACTTATTCAATAACTAAACCCTGCGAGCTAGAAGTAGAACTTGAGAAATACCAATTGTCCAATGGTAATAGCCATAGCTGTAGCCACCATTATTTTAAACATACAACATTAATTAATTAATAATCTTGATTGTAATAGGGCAATTAAGGATAAGCCTCAATAACCGAATGCACTGCACGACTGTGTTTAACATTATATCTGCTAAATCCTGCCTGTCCAAGAACATAATCCCATTCCTTCAATGTCCTCTCTTTCCCTTTGTCAGTGTGAGCCATCATTACAAAAACAAAATAAAACAAAAAAAAATAAAATAAAAAACAAAATTTTAATAATAATACAATAATAATTAAAAAAATAAAAAATTACCAATAAACATTAGAAAAAAATAAAAAAAATTTTTCAGGATTTCGATGCACTCATCATCCCCCCAATCGTGCAAAACCTGCTGCAGTATTAAAAAATGAAACCAAATTTATATATTAACAAATAATTTGATGAGGTTTATAGAACTTAATACCAATTAATTATGCCGAATATTGTGGAGAGCATAATGTTTTTTCTTTCTTCAAGTAAGGTCACACATACCAACTCATATAGTAATTGATTTAACATATTAATTCACTTATCCTGTCATCCTATAATAAAAGACAAGATACTATCAAATCAACTATTATATGAATTGGCATACAAAATTCAAATATGTAATATTATTGATTTTTTTCTTTTATATTATCATACTAGAAAGTGAGAGAGCTATCATATTTAAAAGTGGAAAGTATAATTACAGTTAAATTTATGTTAAAACATTGTTATGTTTTATATTATCTTAAAGCCTTTTTCCAAGATGTCTGTGTCAGTTTATGCGCATCTCGACTATTTCTCGGGGGAGACTAATGCAACAACCAACCATCACGATTCCCTATTTAAATCACGGATGCTCAGATGAGAAATCAAACTCGAGACTATACGTCTCTCCACACTATCTACAATTTGCCCTAACCAACTAGGACACTCATGGAAGGGTTATTATCTCAAAGTCGATACTTAAATTTGAACCTTTTTTTTTTTTATAGTAAAACATAAAATTAATTATCACATTAATTTTATTTAACAGAAGTATGAAGATCAATATTACTTTGAAGTATGTATAGAAAGAAGAAAAGGAAAAATACTTTTAACATATAAATTCAATCAAATATTCTATCCCATTCCTCGTTTTTTAAAAGACAATTTTTTAGATTCTTAAATAGAAGAAATTAAAATAAATCTTAACCTAAATTTTAACAATAATTAAATTTAATGATGAATAAATACCAACCATAATGAAAACAGCATCAGCCATTGGAACACTCTGAAACATGTCACCTCCCACATTCTCAACTCCATGGGACTCCTCAGCATCACAAACAACATGAGGAAGATCAAAATTGATCCCTCTAATCCATGGAAAAGCTCTCACCAACAACCCTAAAGCCGTTCCATTCCCGCCACCAACATCCACCAAGCTCCCAGCTTCATCAAACACCTCAGGACAGCCTTTAATAATCGCCGGCACTTTCACCACTCCAGCTCCACAAGCCATTGCATCATTGATAAACTTACTGAAAGATTCAATCCCAACTGCATAGCTCCATATATCCTTCCCATGAGCCGCCTCAAAAGCCGGCGTTGTTAACTTATGGTGTGTTTAATGAGATGATGTTGTTAATTACTTTTGTAATGCATTACGGTTGAGAGATTGCTTCTAGATTATTAGAAGAAATTTAATTTAATTTAACATAATAATATCAATATAATTGTATGAGTCAAAAATCATATAGGACTCTTTCAGACCCAATAATGAAATAAACATTATGAAACCAATGCTTTAGCCGAATTTTAATTGGGCCCACGTCAATTGGGCCCACGGTTAAGGCCACCTTGTGGAAAAGACCATCCAACGGGATGACTCATCTTATAAGAAGACCCATTCTATGAGTCAACCCACTCTACGAGATGGACCACATCACGAGTTAGCCCTCTCCACGAGTTGGACTACTTTACGAGTTGGATTACTCTATGATCAATATCACTTTACGAACTGGGCCAACTCATGCTTTAGGCCACTCCACGAGTTGAGTCTTTCTACAAGTTAAGCTAAATTGGACTCTAGCCCAATTAGCCTATATTCGTTCTAAAATAGGACTCAAAGTCCTACTTACTTCCTAGTTCATCAAAAATTCCTAATTTTATATTAACTAATACTTCTACTTCTACATGGATAAACATTATGAGTTTCCAATTTACTCAAACTCCTATTGTGAGAATGCCTAGTTCTACAAGAACTCAAGCTTTCTTGTCTCACTATATAAATAGAACAGCGGCCTCCGCCTTCTTATTATTGATTCACATACAACCCATAGCTTTAGTTTTAAAAATTCTCGCTCTCAAGAACCGTCGCCTTTCCCCGCTATAAAGCTTGGTTCCGACTAACTTTACTTCCCATAGTCGCCGTGATTCGGTCACTTTACAATAGTCTTCCCCTAGCCAAACACTCTTGGTAAACCCTTTCCCACTCCTAGCCTCACTTATATATTCCCTTCAACCATGCTGACAAGCTTGGTTTCGACTAACTTTACTTCCCGTAGTCGTCATGATTCGGTCACTTTATGATAGTCTTGCCCTAGCCAAATACTCTTGATAAACCCTTTCCCACTCTCAGCATCACTTATATATTCCCTTCAACCATGTTGATTTGAGTATCGGAGTACCTATGACAGATACCACAACAGTGTCCTCAAAGCCTTCATGTACGTTTTCCTTGTCTTTGCGGTCTATATGATTGTCAATGGCCTCATAGGATTAACCTTGCTTGAATCAACCATCGATTTTACCATTTGCAATAACCAAGCACAACAAATATTGATTAACCTAACCATCGGCCAAATCCGATTACCATGCTAAAAGTACCTTCATCGTTCGTTATAAAAGATCTAACTGGATGCCTATCAATCTTAGGAATCAATCTTTCTCTTGCTTGCTCTGGACTAAAACTTGTGTTTATTCATGGCCATGATCTAGAAAATACGATACTATATGGCTAAAAACTTATGTCCCAAATTCAAACTCACTCATATTGACAAATTTTCATAAAAAAAACATGGATGAATTATTGATCAAGACAATAATGATTCAAAAATAATTTGTATTATTTATTAGGAAAACAGTAGTGACTGACAGACTTGGTCTTATCTATTTGGTGTTTAACTATTATATTAATATCGTTCGGTCAAATCACACATGATCAAACATGTTTTTGTCTTTTTGATGTATGTATATATGTATATCCCTTAGCAATAAAGTCTCGCATGGGCGCTAAGCATGTAACATTCATTATAGATGAACATATGATCATCATTATGTTAAAGGAGTGCATCTACCCACTTAACAATAATCCTATACTTATAAAAAAATTTTACAGAAGTTTTTATACAAAGTAATATAACAAAAAATGAATAGAAGAGTAAAACAAAAAGTCAAACTCATTAAATTCACTATTCTATTCATTTTTTGTCACAATTTTGTATGAAGATATTTGTAAAATTTCTTTGTAAGTGTAATATTACTCTCCACTTAATTATTTAATCTGTCCCACTATTTTCAGTTAAAGAAAAATTCATAGGCTTTACCTCTGTTACTTACTTTTTTTTTTAAATCACAGAAGTGTCCGAATCAGCTTGCATGCACCTTAATAAATCTCTTGAAACTCTAAAATTGTCGATCGGGTAAAATTTCCAATGGCCATCCTCATTAGTGCTTAGGAGAATTCGAACTCATAAGCTCATAAAACTTTCTTTTATTCTTTTACCATCAAGTCATCCAATGGTGGTTAAAAGAAAAAACTACGCATCGAAACTTTGTATTTCTTCAACTCACATCCACTATTTGTATTTCTCTTTCTCATAGTAAGTCTAAATTAAAAAAAAAAAAAAAAAAAAAATGATCGATCACATATAGAAAAACTTTGTATTAAGAGAGCACATACAATAACTAATTAAGGGTTAATTATTGTTGAATAACAGCTCTGCATGGACTCACAATCAAATACATAACCCAAATTCATTAGAAAACTTATTAAAAAAACTTGAGAGCAAGTTCTGTTTGATCTAAACATGAAAAACACCAACCGGCACCACACCATTAATACAAAAACATGGAAGATTCATTCATAAATCTTAATTAATTAATTAAGGAAAAGCTTCAATAACAGATTGAACCGCATGAATAGGTTTAACATTATATCTGCTGAATCCTGCCTGCCGAAGAACATAGTCCCATTCCTTCAAGGTTCTCTCTTTGCCCTTTCTAGTGTGAGCCATCATCACCATGTCCAGCATCAATCTCACAAACTTTAATTTGTCCCTTTCTTCTTCTTCTTCGATAATGGTTTCGACTATTATCACTTTCCCTTTCTCCTTTGGAATCGCTTCTCTGCAGTTCTTCAGGATCTGGATGCATTCATCGTCGTCCCAATCATGCAAAACTTGCTGCGGTATTCCAAAATAATTTACATGTATTAGAAAGTGAGACATTGAAAGGTGAATGTAATTATTTATTAATTGTAAACACCTAATAAAAATTTATGATAGGTACCAACCATGAAGAAAGCAGCGTCAGCCATGGGAATACTCTGAAACATGTCACCTCCAACTTGCTCAACTCCATCCCACTCTTGATCTGCAGCACACACAACATGAAGAAGATCAAAGTTTATCCCTCTAATCCATGGAAATTCCTTCACCAACAATCCTAAAGCCGTCCCATTCCCGCCACCAACGTCCACCAAGCTCCCAATCCCATCAAACACCTCAGGACAACCTTCAATCACGGCAGGCACTGTAACTCTAGCGTTACACGCCATTGCATCATTGATCAGCTTGCTGTGAGCCGCATCCTCCGCGGCATACGCCCACACATCCTTGCCGTGAGCCGAGTCAAATGCCGATGTCCCATTCGCCAACACACGCCCGCCGAGGCCTTGCCACGGAGCCAGCATCACGGGGCTGCTCTCTAGAAGGACAAATGCGGCCATGCTGTTATGTCCATGTTTTATGAAGCGGCGAGAGATTGGGGTTTGTTCGAAGGCGATGGAGCATTGGCTGGTGGGTTTTTCTTTGAAGATTTGGTAATGAACTAAAAATCTCAGTACTCGGTGAAGATTTGAGGGTGCGCAATTGAGAGTTGATGATAACTCTGAAAGTGTCATGGGGCCACCATGGTTTTCAATGGCGTCAGCTATTCCGAGCTCTATGGCACATTTAACTACTGCCATTTTCACAAACCCGAATATGTAATTCCAGATTTCAACTTCTGTTTGAGCTTCTTCTTCCATTTACTTTTTCACTTGAATTTGTGTTGCCTCCATCTCTCTCTTTCTGTGTTTTGACAAATGTGATTAAGATTTTTGTCAATTGGCTCCGTGAATATATGGTAGTAAAATGTTAAGAGAAAGTTGTTTTCAGTGGGATCCTGATGAGTAGGAAATCTATTATAGTTTCTTTACTTTAAATATTTTAATCAAAAGGGTCATATTAACTTTCTAATTCAACATTATTTAAGGTGGCAATTTGCATGATTAAGTTGTAAAAAATATCTAAAGTTAATGCATTGATCTATAGCATGCTAATCTTGTGTTTAACATGGTTCACGACTTGTTAACTAATCTTTTTTCTTTTTTTATTATTATTTTTTTTTTATGATTAGAGTTTCCAGACCAGTTTACACGCACTTCAACTAATCCTCCGGAACCTTGGAACTACCGGCTAGGTAAAAATTCCAGTGGCTATCTTTATTAGCAACCTAGAAGAGACTTGAATTCAAGATCTCTTGAGTAATACATCTGAGAGTCCCCGTCGAACCACTCGACCACTTAGAGGTAGTTTTTATTAATTAATCTTACTTGTTCTTTCATCAAAATATATTAATTAGGTTGGCCTCCAATTCATTTAAAATTATTAGCCTTTCTGAGTAGCTTGGCAACAGTTTCATATGTTTATGTTAATTAGTACAAGTTTCTGGAAGAATGATCTATCTCAAGTAAATCTTCACATGTAGTTGTCATATTATACTCTCATATATATAAACTATAAACATCTTTCATTTAATGTTGATAAAATCAGGGTTTTTTTTTTTTTTTTTTTTTTTTTTTTTTTTGGTGATAATACTTTTATTTCAATATATATATATATATATATATATCAAGGAATCATTTATCCGTATTTCATCCCCTTTTAAACCATTAGATTGTTGACTAACAAAAGAAAACTTTCAAGTTTCAACTGAACTTCTTGCATACAAAAATGTAATTTTGTCTTTTTAATCATTTAATCGACTATAATTAAACATATTACAAGTATATAAATTCCATATTAAAAGATTTTATATGCATTCTTGAGTATTGCATGACATGCATACCATACCATAGCAACCTTTGTTAGACTACTATGGTGTATAATAATAATTTTATATGCATTCTGATTAGGCAAGCCCTTTAGTCATACTGTTAAATATATCAGGGATTGTGTTAAGTCCAAGAAGGCAATTATTGAGTTTACCCAGAAATACAACTTTGTGTAGAATATTATGGTTGTATAATAATACACAAAAAGATTTCATAAAACGATCTTTCTAATGCTTCCTTGAGTGATAAATCATTTCTTCGTTAGAATAATAGACTTGACCCCTAATATAAATTAACATTAAAGGACCAAAGCAACCCATTATTGCTTTCTGCTTTAGCATAGTTGGTATTTAGTCTCTAGTGGAAGCCTTCGAATAATGATGAAGGCATTTGCATTTGAATATTTGCAAAACCAAGCAGGGCCCCTGGAAGCTTCAATCATTCATTAAAAATTAAAGAAATGAAGTGCATTATAACAATGATAAGATTCGCTATGAAGAAAGTGAAACAGACAAGTATTGATGTTTGAAGCAATAGAAAATATTTTCTATTAAAAAGAATTTACATCTTTTTTCCCACAACAATTTAACTTGTTTATGGTGCAAAACATGAGGGGAAGAGGGGGTTGGTTGAACAGTTTGCAGAAACCCTACCCCACAATAAGTATCCTTTTTCTTCTCTCTCTTGACTTTTAATCTAATCGTCAATGAACTATTCTGTACATAAGACTGAGCTTCTCCACTGAATCATGAGAGAGGAGTTCCTTCACAAGCTTCATTAGTATCCAAATCTTTTATCTATATTGCTCTGATCCAGCGATGAATCTCCTTGACCATGCATTTGAGATGGTTTGTTATATCTAAGATCAAAAATCATCCTCTGTAACAACAATGCACAGAAAGCAATCAGATTAAACCTATATTGCTCTATGAAAACAAGGGACATAAATGTTAAAGGAAAAAAAATGAGAATGAAAAATAGATGGCCCGATGGTACTGAATATTTTGTATGATTAATAACACCACTACAATCATTTATTGGCCTCTTTTCTCAGGTAGGCTAAATTTAAAGATAAACCTCTCAAGTAAAGTGTCTGCATTTCTTGTTTTAAAAGGATAGTGAGGCAACACAAGATGTAATATGATAGCCATGCAGTCAAAAGTTCATTTAATCTGGTGGCATTTATTGAACTTCAAAAATTGCTTGTCTAAACTGTATATTCTCAATTTAATGTGAGTTCGGTTGAATATCACAGCTTCAAATAGTTCTGTGCACACAATGCACAAATTACTTTTGACATAAGTGCAGATATTCAAGCATTTGACCACACTGAAAGTAAGAGCATTCAAACAACTTGCATACCTCATGTTGCCTCTGTCGGGAGTAGTCTCGCAGAAGAGACTTTACAAGCTTATTCTGTAGTAATAACTTACCACTGGCATGCAAGAGGAATATGAAAGATGAAAGGTGGTGCAGGACCAGTGTAAATGCCATTGATTTTCGAGTTGCAGCTCTGTCAAGGGCACCAGAAGTCCATGACTTCACATATGCTTCCAAAATTTCTTCATTATCCTGCACCGAACAAATCATTAGAGTTTCTTGCCACTACCTATTAACATGAACTGAATTTTAATTATCATACTCAAACAGACAGTACGAAATGAATGAACACTGACATCCTGTATAGTACAATATTCAACATTGCAATCAAGTTCATTTTCTGATATGTTCCCTGGCCAAGACAATTAAATAATTTCTTCTCACTTTTTCCCATAACATAAACTTCTAAAAAATCCAAAATGAAATTTTGTGGTGCAACACTTACAGCCAAATATGGAAGCTTTGCTGTGCTAATAAAAGCAACTTGCAAGTAAAAGAAGATGATCATTGATCACTGCAGATAGTTTAGTAATAAAAGTCGTCAATAGTCAGCCAACATTACCTCTTCAGGTTCAAGGTACCCTTCAGCCTTAGCATAGCAATTCTCAAGAGGTGGCAGAAGTTCAAGAACACGAGCACTAGACAGTGAATTCCAAGCAGCAAGGCGCACAGGAGCTTCGACACAACGGTGTAAATATACTCCAACTTGACGGCCATAAAGCAGATCACCATAAGATACAGCAGCAAACTGTTCTACAAGAGTTTCTACATATGTTGAGTAACTCTCATGAATTTCTGACTGAAACCTCAGTAGCTCTACATTACAATTCTCTCTGGTCTGCAATAAATTCATATTTACGTCTGGAATGAGTTCACTGAATTTGCTAGCCCATGCCTCATCCAGCAACCTCCCATAATGCTCTTGTAATGCTTCAAAAACATCTCTACTCTTCTCATCTTCAAGCACACCCATTCCAGCAAGTAATATCACAGATAAAGAATGCAATTTCCAAAATAACGCCACACTCTGAACAGGGGAGGGGACTTTAGTGGATAAGAAGGTGGCCATAGCTTCAATGCCCAGAAGAAAAAAAAGTCCAAATTTAGCAATTTCAAGCACATCAGGTTCCTGCACAACATTTAGCACCATAGAAGCACTTTGAAGACCAGCATGTTCACCAGAACTGATGGTTGCAATAGGACTGAGGAACCAATGCATGGGAAGTGGCAAACTCTGACGAGCCCACTCTACTGCTAAAGAGGTACAGCAATGATCTTGACTCATAATATTTGACGGATCTAAGTCCTCAGGTATGGTGTCCAGAGCTACACTACCCTTCTTAAATGTTTTACTGCCAGAACTACTGTTTTCAACAATGGCTTTCGATTTTCTCTTAGAACCCAACCACCTATTTTTGAAGTGCGAAACTAATATTTTGCTGAAGAGCATGTAGTCCTCTTCTTTATATTCCCACCCAAATAATTTCATTCTTTTATTAGCTTGAAAACGTCGAATGCAGAGATCCAGGAACTTCAAAACAGGGACTTGAAACAAAATCTCTAATGCTTTCTCCACAATTATTTTATCTCTTGGTCCAGCAGTTAAACATAATCCTAAGGTAGAATTAATAATTTGTACAGCAAAAGTCATCTCTTCATCCGTGGGTAAATCTGAGACAGATACCATTTGAAAGAATCCAAGCAAGTGAATAAGAAATCGTGCATCCATTTGTGCTAACAAAACAGTAGAAGACCAAAATCCTCCACCAGAAGCACCCCAGCCATGTCCCACACCTGGAGCTGGGCCACCTCTACCAAATATTTCAATGCACTGCACAAACTTCCACTCCGATGCAACCAACTCCATAAAAATTCTCAACACACAATTCAATTCAACCTGAGATCCCGTCAGTATCCCATCCTCAAGTATATTTTCATCTCTAGAGAGATTGTATCCTTGAAAAGTAGGATTACGGACCCCAGGCTTAGCTAACTGGATCAAGTTATCAATGGAAACAACAAGTTGGACTAGTCCATGAAGGCATGATACAGAAGCTAATGATGTTTCATATTCAACTTGGCGCCTCAAATGACATAATTCTTCAACAAAAGAGATTCCTTGAGCAAAATGAGTTCCATATCCGGTGCCATATGCATCCAGAAAGCCAAAAAACCCATTCTTAACAATTTCAAGTCCAATCTTAGGAACAAATTCCGGCAACCAGGGCAAATGCTTGCCACTCCCTTGCAGATTGATGCTATCCTCTGGGCTTACTCTTTCAAGAACTCTATTAAGGAAAAGCATGATAGCAGAGTACACCCACACCAAGGGAGATGCAGATGAATCTCGTAAGTCAAACTCACTTGTGATTAGTTTCTGCCCCTCGAAAAATTTCGATATGCACAGATCTCTCTTCACTACTAACCACTTCACCGCTGTATCAATCAGTGGACTAACATGACTCCAAGACCAGGTCTCCATATCACCATCACCACAATCTGATTGCTCCTGTGAATAGAATTTTGGAAGTCTTGCCGCCAAAGCCTCGAGAACAAGGTAGACTTCCATTGAGATGGAAGTAAATTCACTAAGAACATTACTCTCAATAAGTTTTTCAAAAGAAGGTGGATTCAACCACAGGCAAAGGGCAGGAAAGATATCTGGAAAATAAGATACACCATATCCATTCTGAATGCAGACCTTCCAAAACCGGAGTTGTTCAACCATCAAACCAGATAAAGATTTACAGTTTTCCTTTCCCAACTTTACCCATTCATAAACCGAGGAAACTGATCGGTACAAATGCCATGTTGTAGACTGGAAAATCCCATTCTTTACAAACTCCGTACAATTCTTCTTGTTAGACCGAGCCAACACCTTTTCGTGTCAATTAAAAAAAAAAAAAAAAAAAAAAGAAAGAAAAAGATATAAGTTTCACCTTCTCAACCACAGTTTATTGACCATCCAAAAGATATTTATGATAAACACATAAACAATCACACATTTTACTTTTTACTCTTTATGCCAGCATTGCGATTCCAAAGAACAAACTTATATTAAATCCTTACCTTCAGAAGGCATACAGATTTAATCTTGGAAGGTTGAACTTCAGCAATGTTATTCAAGGTAAATCTGTGGACGACTGTTTGGACAAGCCTTTCACAATTCATGATTGCATTTGCACATGTAGGTGAATGCCTCGTTATTGCAATAAGTATAGAAATTATGCATTCTTCCATAGCGACTGTAGGGCCTGTCTGAAACCATATATATATCGATATCTATTAGATACAATGCTGAGATATAATACATAAACACACATCAATGATACATTAAGCAGTTGAGAGCAATTTAAGAAACAGAACAGAGCAAAATTGAAAAATAACTGATACCAATTCTTTCCTTGGAATCTAAAATACAAACTTCAAATCTTTGCCGCAACAATTTGTACCAAGACCTTAAGACATGTAATCACTACCAATAGACATTGAAACATGAACCACTTCCAAATTGATAGAATCATTCAATTTTATGATAATGATTTAATACTGTGAAGAACAATAAGTAAATTATGCATTTTTGCTAGCGAACCTATTAAATATGATACCACACTCCAATACTTGAAATTTTATAATTCCTCCACAAATAGACACATTCAAGCGTGCGGATAGTTACATTGTGCTCGTGTAATTAATAAATAAAGTTCTACAAACACAGATATAAAGCCATGAGCCTGCAACTAATTCTGGGAAACTTCCAAGCAGGCATCTAATTAGCATGTAAATGCATGATACAGTTATTTGTTACCATTATTTACATATTAAAAAGATACAAGTAAAATGGATTTGAAAGAAAAGTGAACCAGATATTCGCCCCTCACAAAACAAGATAAAAGCCTTCTCAAACAAATCATAAGAAACAGGCTTTACAAGAAAAATAAGCCTTTTCAAACAAAATGTCATTTAACCAGTGACTCATAGTTTTGCAGAATGAAAAACAATAGAGTATGTGAAATCTTTTGAATAGATGCCCAAATGGGAGCAAGAAATTGAGCTTTGTCCTATAAAAATACAATTTTTTCTTCTTGAGCATTTAAAATAATTTTTCAATTTATTTCCATCCATCCACATAACCCACAGAATAGTAAATATTTCACGTCCATAAAGTTGACTGTTCCCAACCTCCCCAAGGCACAGTTTTCTGGACAGCTAATAATTCTTCAATTTATTTTCCACATTTCCCCAAGGCACAGTTTTAAAGAGTTCATTCCCCAATTTTACTGCTGAGAGCAGAAAATAAAAAAAATTTAGAGAAAAAGGCAGATGAATGATGATTTTTATATCTTTCTTGCACATTTTGCACCAAAATGGATATGAATACATATTTAGATTTATCCTTGTAATCTATCTCATGTATTTACTTTTGCTAAGCTAAAATCTACAGAAACACTTTTACTTTTTCTCAGGAATTACAAGCCTTCAATATAAATCTAGAATAGGCAACATAATACTTTCATTTGAGACCACAAACTGGCAAAGTTTGTTATACAGATGCACTAAATGAATCTTAGCTCTCAGCCATAAGAATTTAATGATACCAACAACTGCATGCAAGGAATTCAATAAAAGCATATAGGCATAAAAGTTAAAAATAAAGGAAGGAAGGAAGAGAGCATGCGAAGGATTCATTCCCACTTACAAATCTTGGAAAACAGTAATAATCTGACAACTCAAAAGAAAGCCCTGTGACTTTAGGGCTTTCCTTAATAATATGAGGCAAAATAAGAGAAAATTTTCAGTATAACCATGCTCACCTCCAATATGAAGCAAAGCCTGGGGAGGATTCCCATTCTAACCAATCCTGCGGCAAAATCCTGTCCAGCAACAGCAATATCATCCTGAATTGTATGCTTCCCTTCATTCTCATCATCCATGATTTCCTCACCAAAGACAAGAATGTTAGAAGGCTTTGCACTGTACTTCCAATATCCACCACCAAGGAAACCAAGATTAATATCCGGTTTGCTTCGAAACACTGGGGCAGTGAAGATATCCTTCCCAATAATTGATATTTTCTGAAGCAAGATAGGCATTATTCTTTTTATCCAAAACAAAGTTGAAGTGTGTGAGCAGAAACACATCTGTGTGTGTAACAATCAAAAGACAAAGGCTCTACCTCTGAGATATCAAAGAAGTATTCATTTACGTCACAGCTGAGAGTGCACTGAATAACTTTGAGACATGCTAAAACTACATTATTGTGGTTGTCATCAAGTGACATCCTGCATAACGACACCAAAGATTTAAGACTTAAAGTGAAAAAAGAACTTTAAGGCGACAGAGATCAGAAGAAATTGAAGTTTGAACAAATAACTTTAAACTTTAAAAGAAATAATTCTGATTTTAATCTGGGTTCTTCAAACATGTGCAACAACTCGGACTGGTATAATATGGAACACTGAAAATCTTATCTAGTAATTAACTCAGTACTTCACTGCATCCAATGAAAAATAATATATATATAAAGAAAAAGAATATTGAATTATATGTATGATGTATTAAATATGTAATATTTAGTAATTGCAATGCTGCTTGCCATGCAGATCAGGAATGAAAAGATTCAAAAACTTAGGCCAAAAAATTTATGGCTGTATTCACCCAAAGGAATGTTTGACAACTTTAGCTACATGTAGCAGAAATACAAACTAAAGAGATCTGACAATCCTCTCACCAAGCAGAAATAGCATAATAACAACATATTTTTCATGTATCTTTTTGCACATGTCAGAAACCTTTGAATTCTTATAAACTTTGAAGATATAACAAAAACATATTAGTTTATACTGTTTCCACGTTATAATTCTTTAATGACAATCCTCTTAATATGAAATGCATGTGATATATATTGATATTGATTAAAGCTGATACCATAACCGCCACAAGTTGAAACCCTAATGCAATAACAACAGCTAAATTATTGATATATATACCTCAATTTAATTCGTAACAAAGACATGAAACAAAAGAAATAAGAAATACATCAGATTTCATGACATTAAACTGCCTAACAGCAAACATTGATCTGCCAAGCCAAGTTTGCACCATGCATATTGAAACTTTTTGTCATGTATACATCTTATGCATTGAAATTACATTATCACGAAATATCAGCATACAACACACTCATCAGCAGATTAATAAGTCAAACTAAGGGCGGATAATCTAGTCATACAGAAGGTCAATAAAAATCAGCAATAGAAGCCTTCAAATTTATTTACCTTAATGATAATGCAAGCTCAGGTTCAGGGCCAAGTGCATAAGCCCAAACAGCTTCCCAATCAATAGTTCCTTCAACTTTATTATCATATCTCAAGGCATACCTAGCTTGATTTTCACAAATATTGTATAATGCCTTATCAAGCACAGATGCAAGGAGATGCAATGCAAAGGCCCGTTGTCCAGGTACCTAAAATCAACCAATTTAGCAAACAATAAAACATTTGACCAATAAGCATACAGCAAAAAAAAAAAAAAAGAAATATGGCAATTTAATGTTACACATTAGAAACCCAATGCATGTTTCCATCACAAGGCTCAAAACTTAATCCAAAAAATCTCCTTGCAGCTAAATTACATAAAATATTAGCCAAAACTTACAGCACTTCTAGTGAGCGCCACAGCTTCATTGATTGTGTAACCTGCAGCACCAGGGTCACCCTCAGTCCGAAGGTAGTCACGTTCAGAAACATTATCAGCACTAAGCTTATTTTGAGCAGAATTATCGCCTGTCAAATACAATATAAAAAAGTGGTGAAATAAAATGAAGAACAAATTAATCAGATATCATATAATTGAAGCGTATCAGGACCCCTAAATAAATCATATGGTATACTGCACAATTATATACTAGATAACAAAGAACTACCGACTTATCAACTTTAAAACTAAAGAACTAAGTTCTCAACATGACCAAAAAAAAAAAGTTCAGAAAATCAGTGGGTCCCAAAACACTTGTGGCTTCCAAAGATCTGAATGTAAATATCTTTTGTTTAAATGGCTAATGAAATAGTGACTACAGAGATTCAACCTTTAAAAGGATGAATTGAATAATTACAACTTGGTTAGATTTATCAAAAGTCCCATATACTTAAAGAAGGATATGTAGGCATCAAGTAAATTACGTAAATGCTGTCATCGAAAAACTAAACAGGAGAAAATGGAAAATCAGCAGAACAACAATTTAGCCTTACCACTCTCAGATTTTGGGTCAAAATCATATGAAATGACAGACCCATCCAAGGAAAATCTTAATTCCCTGACAGCCTCAACTCTCCCAGTCCAAGCCTTCCACAAAGTGCCAACAGCTTGGCCTGTATTTTGGATCAATCCATTGTCTTGCCTTCTCTGTGAGTGAGAGAGATCCCCCTCAAATCGCAGAGAACCTTTAGCGTCCTGGATAGACTGATTCTCTTCCACAATAGCAACAGCTTCACTATTGGTAGCCAGAACTGAGCTTGAGCACTTTTGCTTTTTCAACTTATCATTACCCCGTCTTTTTAGTAGATTTAATAATGCAGGATCCATCTTCTCCATTATCTCAGCCTGTGCTTGTGCAATCTCATCAGGTGACATACTCTGCAACCAGGCACGATTCTCTGTATCAATCTCACTTTCAAGAGACATGGGCTCTCGCTCATTTCCAATGTTATTAGACCTGGAACTAAAATCTTTAGTTGAACTTGAAGATTTTTTGTCCCTCTTCTTCAGCACCACCCCTTGTAATGCATGATCCTTTTTCTCAAAATGTGCTCCAAAATCATCATGTGACATTAATTCCACACCAAGTTGGCTGTTTGAGGGCATCACACCAGTGCTTTCTTCTTTCAAATTCTCAGGATGATTTAGTTGATTAACGTTATCTAATTCCATGTCAGCAGCTGAATCAAGCAATTCAAAACCTGAAGAACTTGTGACAACATTTTTAGGTTTATCTAGTGGCACACGAGAATTCAAATCTGTCCAGACATCCATTTCCACAGGAACAACCACATCCTTGTCAGCTGAAGATGGGCCACATGATATGTTTCTCCCATTATCGATTTTGGTTTCTTTACCATCCTTGCTTTTTCTTTTGATATTGCCGAAGCTTGACCCTCTTTCTTCTATTTTCCCACCAGACTCGCTTGTTATTAGCTCTCTCCACCTGCTTAAATCTAAATCTTTTTTGCTTTTCCTGTGTACTGGATTAGCAAAAGCTGCCATTGGGAACGCATCACTAATGTCATTATCTTCATCATCTTCATTGTCTTCATTAACATAATTGCTACCTCTATTACTACCTACTGGACCCCAATGCTGCAAAATTAAATTCTCATATCAGTGAACAAAACCCGTGCAGTTGTGCACAATTTAAAGGAGAAAATTTCCAGAATATTCCCCCCTTAAATCCAAAGTCACCATAATCTCATCTAAAATACATGGTAAATTGGGAAATGATTTTGTCGGAAGCACTTTTAATTTGTTTCGAGTTAATGTGCCTTCTACAAAAGCACCTATCAAATGCTTTTCTAAGAAACTACTTCAAATATTGTCTCACATAAGACATACTTTATTTTAAACAGCACTTGATTTATCTAACAAACACTTCTTCCAAACACTATAATACAAAATCAAATTTACCCGTTTGAAACACAGTAATAGTTTTTAAAATGCCCCAAACGCATTAACATTTTCTTTTCGTTTTATTTTTATTTTCTTATACCCAAGCACTTCATTCAAGCACAGCTCTGTACAAAACCTAATTATAACTAAATGAAAGCTTTCTGTAAAGTTGATAAAATGTTCTTTCTAATATCATGCAAATTAATCAAAACAAAACTAATTTATAAATGTAAACGAAGAAGAGAGAAAGAGAGAACTAACCGGTCCGTGAGAGCGGTGGCGCGCGACGGGAAAAGGTAAAACAGTGGGTTTAGGGGCTGGAGTGGGTGAAAAAGACTTGCTTTGAGGCTTATCCGAGATGCCCTTCTCGATTATACTGCCAACTAAGTGAGACACCCCTTCTTCACTGATTTGAAGCTTGGTCGTGCCCACTACTTTGCTTTGCTTCTTCTCCATCAGTCAAGCTGATTTCAAGTTTGATGTTTGTTGTTACTGAAATTGAAGCGCAAAGGAGATGAATTTAGAGAGCTTTTATATGAACGATAAACTTTTTGAAACCTATGAATTTTAGGCGATCTTCAAAGCACACTTATTTAATAAAATAACAGAAACATCCCCAAGCAAGATATAATTTTTTAGGTTTTTTTATCAAATTTAAAAACATATTGGAGTTGACTGAAAGTTATTCCTATCCTTGAAATTTCCCCCACATAGACTCTTAACTGGATGTGGGCCACAGGCCCAAACTTCTTTCCTGCCATTTGAATTTTAGAACCACAAGCTATTTTGCATTTTCATACATTTTCTTCCTTTCTCTCTTACTTTCCGTCACTTTCTCGCGAAAAAACTTATAACTTTTCTCAATACAACATGACAGACTGGTCCGGACTCCCGAAAGACCTCCTATACCTAATCGCTAAACGCCTAGATACCTCCTTAGATCGCTTCCGCTTCCGCTCCGTCTGCTCCACGTGGCGGTCCTCCGTTGCACCGAAACGCCGCCGTTTCCCCGGCCGTTTTCCGATGCTCCCGGACGACAACACTAATATTTCCTCCACCTCCTTCGGATTCCACCTCTCGAAACGTACCGTTTTTCTTGTCAAATCACCGCAAATGGCGACCAGTTGGCTGATCAAAATCGAAGAAGACACGCTTAATAGAAAACGATTGATATATCCTTTGAAGCGACACCGTTTTGACTTCAGAAAGGTAGTGGATATTCAAAATCTTAATATCTGTGAAATCGGACATGAATATGTTCTAAATTACATAAATAGCCCCCCAAATTCGAATTTTATGAACGAATTATGTAATTTATACATGGAGAAGGTTGTTTTGATGCATTTAGGTAGTCGTGAAAGCGATTCTGATGGTTTCGTGTTGCTTACTGTTCATGTTTCTGGTAAATTAGCTATGTTTAAAAGTGGGCATAAGAAATGGACAATATTACAATACATGCCCTCGCCATTCGATGATGTGATAGTGTATAAAGGGAGATTTTACGCTGTTGATAATACGGGGAGTACTGTTGTTGTTGATTGTTCGCGTTGTAGTGTGAATTTAGTTGGAAATCCTGTGTTTGGTGGTGATAAGAAGTATTTGGTTGAGTGTAAGGGTGATCTGTTGTTGGTCGATATGCATCTAAGCATTGACGCTGCCACATTTGATCCAAATTTGGATTGGGAGCAACAACTTGCGTATTTTGTGAGGGAGAGGACGGTGATGTTTAAGTTTTATAAGTTGGATGAGGAGAGGAAGGAGTGGGCTGAGGTGAACAATTTGAAGGATGATGTGTTGTTTTTGGGTGAAGATAGTGTTTTTTCAGTGTCTGTCAATAAGCTTGGTGTGAATAGAGGGAATTGCATACTTTTTGTTGATAATGTCTATGGTTTGAGTGAGGATGGGGCAGATGATGATGTTCATCTTGGTGTCGGTGTATTTGATTTAGAGAGTGGTTGTATTAAGCCGTTAGGAAATTACCCGGAACTTTCCAAGCTGTTTTGGCCAGTTCCTGATTGGATTGCTTCAAGGACGTTGGAAGTAAGTGTTCATTCTTGTTTTTTTATGAGCAAACTATAATGTTTGGTAAATTGAAAGCCTCTTTGCAAATTCATTTATTTCCGTATGGATATGGTTTTTGTTAAATTAATGTGTTGTACACGGTGCAATGTACAGTCAAACTTGACTAGCATTCCCAAACTTTGAGAGTTTTTTTATACATGTGTTATTCAGATGGTTTTTTTCTTCCAAATTATGTGCCTTTTTTTCTTATTCGTAGGTTACGAATTTTTGGGATTGTTCTTGAATTTAACTGTAGCATTAATTAGTTTGTTGTTTTTTTTTGTTGTTATTTCTTTTTTTTTCAGCCTTAATTTCATGTCTGGTAATGAATGGTACCACTGTATAGTAAGGAAAGCCCAAAATGAACTCTTGATGATGAAAACATGCTTGTGAAAATTCTTTTTTAGGACTTAGGATATGATACTTGAGTAGCCAAAAGCAAAGGCGATGTTTATGTATTTGAACAAAAGAAATGAAAAAGGGCGAAATTCCTTAGCCATTAATCATTAATATGGAAACAAAATGAAAAATATTTCTTGCTTGCATCACGTAGCTCATCAAGTTAGCCCTCTGTTTCCTTTTGAGTTTAAATGATATAGACATTCAAAGCTATGTAGGTAAAGTAGGATGTACTGTAATTCATTGCCTTTTGAAGTTAATACTTTATGTGATGCCACTGAATTGTCAAGTTGGAGACCCACAATTATTGTGTGATCGCGTTTATTTTGCATTTTCTTAATGATTTTTTATTTGCATATTTGCCTAAACATAATACTACACATACAACATTTTTATACAATATTTCTCATAAAACATGATGTAGCAAAAGATGATTGACTGATTTTAAATTAAAAATAAACTTTTACCCAATCATCTTTTGCCACATTAAGTTGTATGAAAAATATTTTATAAAAATGTTATATGTGTAGTATTACTCTTTGCCTAAATAACTGCTCCTTTACTAAACTTCTTGTTCTTTGATATTTAGTAAAAAAGCCCATTTATTTTCTAATATTTACATAATATTATATGAAGTGGATTACCCAAAAAAAAATATTATATGAAGTGATGATTTAATTTATGCAACAGGTGCAAAATCAGGCCGAAGAAGTGGCTTCTTTACAAGCTCATTTCCAGGATGTAGTTCACTTGTGAAATTTGATCATTTTAAATTTACAATGTTCAGAAGACAAACTTTTCATCAGTACAGAAGTTGTATCTTCATCTGGATTGCTCAGTTGTCTGAATATATAAACAGCAGCTGGTAAACCAGATGTAAGTTTCCAACAATATGGAGAATCCCCATAGCAAATGAGCCGCGCTGTCCTTCTCAGTTAATAAGCTCTTTCCTTCTTGCTGTGAATGCCAGGTTTCATTTTCTTTTTCTCTTCTTGCCGATGAAATAAAAAGTTTGGCCGAAAGACGGATATTCCTTATCTGTAAATATATTTGAACCCAGCAGCATATTAAGTGCATCAGTGGTCTTTTTTTCTCTCAATTTGAACAAGGAGCCCGGGACTATTGCTTACTGATACCAATGTAATTTTCATCTGCTTTGTTGGGTGTTGCTTTTCCTTTCCCAACGTTCTTTTTCTTTTTCTTTATTTCATTTCTTGTTTTCCGGAACTCAATACTTCTATTTGTACTGAACTAAAGCCCAGAAAATAAATGATGTTGTTGTATCATGTACTGAAGACCATTTTACAAAGGTCAGTATGATTATATTTCAACTTTTGACCGGCATGTATGTTGATTTCAAGAGATTTGGAAGCTGCCTACTTGTATGCTTATTTAAAATTGAGTAAACGACATGTTCCCGTTTTATAAATTTTAAATTCTCACCTTTAAATTAACAGAAAATGTTTAAGTTAACAATTAAAGGGTAAATGGTCATTTTATTCTTGAATCCAAAGGGTGGGTGGCGGACACATGCGTGGGGCACAGTAGCATCCTTGTACCCATGCACAGTAGCATCCTTGTACAATGGCCGACACATTTTAGCCAGGGGCGGCACACATTAGCAAATGTCCAGCATTTTTCCGGCTACCTTTCTACCTAAAACAGCCCCCTACCTCTTCCTTGCTTCTTCCTCACCTTTGCCCACCCTCCTGCACACTAGAATTGTCGAAAAACGGTGACCATTCGACTTTGCAAACCTTCATCTTTGCAGCTATTTTCCATTTTCTGATCGCTTCACTCATTGGAAACTCACCCAACCACCTCCATTTTAACACCTCCACCCTGACATCAGCTTCCCTTACTCACCGTTTGTTGTCCATCGGCCTTTCTTTTGCACCTAGTGGGGGCGTTTGACTTCACAAACCTCCATCTTTACAACCATTTTCCGATCGCCTCATTCATTGAAAATTCACCCAACCACCTCCATTGGACCCCCCATTCTCCCATCTTCAAAACCCACCCCGACATCAACTTCCCTCACTCACCATTTGCCATCCACCGACCTTTCTTTTGAGCCTAGTGGGGCGGTGGGTGGGTGGGGCTTTTTTTTTAGCACTTGGTGTGCGTTTGGGGTAGAAAGCTGCTTAAATGAGTTGGGAATGCCATAAATTTACATCAATAAATCACAATCAATCTAAACTTCTTAAAACTACACACAATCAATTATCAATATTCCCCCAAATCTCCAAAATATACCAATCAAAGCCTCTCCACAATCAAACAAACCAAACTTCTCTAAACTTGCAATTGGGAAGGCGATCGAGGTGATGATGGGTGAATGTGCGAGAAGAGGGTGAGGTTTTGGTGGCAGATGGACTGGGGTGCTATGGGTGGTGTTGGGGAAGGTCGTCGACTCTAGGAAACGACCAAATGGGCCTGAAAATCTAGGGTTTAAATAACAATTTTTAATTTATTTTTCAAAAGTAGTTTGATAATAACAGTATCTATATTATTATCGAACTCAAAAATCATAAATGGTGTTAATTTAAAGATAGTAATCTTGTATTTATGAAACCAGGGGGTGAAACCTTGAATTTAGCTATAAGTTTGGGTGGAAACATGTCGTTTACTCGTTAAAATTTAGTTACCACTAATTACTCGATTTAATAAAATGCTGTTGCCAAATTTAGATGGAGAGGTAAATTCTTCACCAACACATTAGATAATACATTAATGGCCCAAGCCTAAATCATCATCTTCTTTCCTTAGTTAACACCTGACAAAAACACCATGATCAAAACTTTTTGAACATGATATTCCTACTGCTAAACAATATACAAGATATAATAATCATATCCTATCCTCCTGTCAGCCGTAAGTCTCCTGAATGCCTGTGCAACTTCTTTGATACAGGAACTGGATGAGGACTCTTGTCAATCTCGCTCTGGGGCATCCCCAGGAACTCGTCTCGAACTTAGGTTCCCAGTATAAGACCAAACCCTCTCAAACTCGACTGGGCATGGTTTTTCCAGCTTCCGCTCCGGTGCTTCCTTGAGACCACTTCTCCTCATAGATGTAGGTGCCCTTCCGGGGCTTCCATTGACAGGAGTTGAAGAACAGAAGGTTGGTGTAGCAAATGGAGAAGCATATGGGGTGTGTTGGATAGAGAAGGGACTTGGAGACATTCGCTTCTGGATGGGAACACCACTCAGACCTCCCCTGCTGAATAGAGAGAGTGATTCTGCAGCAGCACATCGCTTGGTAGCATCGTCAACGTAAAGCACATCATCGATTCTTGCCATAATGTTGAAAGCCAAGCTCTCCATCACCCTCGAGTAACTTTCGAGAATTGACTGCCCTATATCCTGCAAGAAAAAGAACAGTTTTACCATATCGCAGCTCTAAAAACATTTATTCTCATTGTTTCTTCCCAAGGAACAAATAACTGATTATATAACAGAAATGTACTGCACCAACCTCCAACTTATGGGTCCGTTAAGATGTTCAAAATACAACATGGCATCTAAAACCGAATAAATAAATCCATATCTTGTATACTACATGTTAAAAACACTATAATAGATCATTATTTGAGATGAAATGACGTGGATAATAAGTAGCCAGTTGTATATGATATTTCAGGACCAGCAATGGTACCTTGTTGTACTGAATCTTGTTCATATCCAATGCAGTCTGTGGGAGGCCAGGGAAACGAATCCTCAGGCTCTGTAAGAGGTTCTCAGCTCGCTGGGCCAGTAAGTTATTCTTTTCAGTGTCAGCAACTAGGCCCTTGACCTTGCCACCCCATGTTGAGCGCCTAACTTTCATATGATTTGTATGTTTTCTTTCATCTTTCTGCTTCCAAACATGCACCGCTGCCTCAATCCTGTTAACTATTTCAAGAGTGTGATGTTCTGATGACAAATCAAGGCAATCAAGAAGGCATTCTGGTGAAAACTGATCAGCAATTATGTAGCGGTAGATGATGTCGCCTAGACAAGCTTTTCCACTCTGATAATAAAAAAAAATGTTAATTCATTTAATAGAGCTCAACTCAGTTACTTAAAGCAAATGCAGAGAGGATGTCTATGTTATATGAAATACTTAGCCATTGTTTTTATGCTCCAAATATTCAATGTGAGAAATTCAATGGTACATACAGATTTCACGTTCCTAATATTGATACAATGTTTTTCTCATTTGATAGGATGTTGATATATTAAATTTAACAAGACCCCACAAATTGAAAGTTAAAAACTCATAGTTTTCATTTTTCTGGGCTCGCACAGAACCATCATTACCAGTGACAGGTTCAGAAATCATAATGTGCACTACTATTTTGTTTTGAGTCATGCCAAAAACGTAATTTGAGATAAAGAAACCAGTACCTTAGGCAAGGTCTCCAAGTATGCAGTTGGTATCTCCATCTCTGCAAGCACGCTACTATTAATTGCCATGGCTGCTTTCAGTATCTGATTCGTGCAATCCCTACATTGCTGTAACTTTTTTCTGGCATCCTCAGACAACCCATTTGGTGGCACTTTCGGACATGGCAACCACCACTTCTCTTCCTGTCTAATCGATGGCCTCCCATTAGGAACCAATGATGAAAAGCCATCACACTCTGCACCTTCACCAACAATAATCCCTCTATCAACATACCAAAACTCTGTCTCACTGAACCCATCAAGCATACTAATCAACATAGCATCAAGCTTCTTAAGTGCAGGCAAGTTCACATATAAATCTGAACGTGGCTGTGTCGCCATCACTTCATATGTACCCCCACCTGGAAATTGTTGTATGGAAGGTACAAGCTCCACAATCGAATCACTAACACATAATAGCCACTGCATTTCTCTCCGCCACATTGACTTCTTTCGCTGAGCTAATGGCTCTAACCTCCACAGCTCTCCAAACACAGTCGCTGAACAGCCAAAAACACACATCGCATCGTTAGAAAATTGTCAATAAAATGCAAATAATCACATTATATTAATAAATAAGTTGAAATTGAAGCTAACCAGAGAGATTGGTGATAGCATTAGAGATGGCAAGCGCAGTACAAACACCTTTACCACCACCAGACATATCTTCTCCGAGAAGTAGCTTAGCAAATCTTTCCTTCATCATCTCAACTTCTGCAGAACCACAAAATAAAACATTACAAATATGATTATAATTAAAACTTAAAGTAATTATCATAACTTTGACAGAGAAAAAAAAAAAAAGAGCAACATCACACACTGAGATGTCCGCTCAATCAAGACTTCAATATATGACTTCCAAAAAAAATTAATTAAAAAAATCTAAACAAAGAGAAAACTGACACGTATTCAGATCTCCACTAATAGAAGATAACATCACAATTTTGGTTGCGATGGAACTGAAAGAGAAAGAACTAGTGTTCATTTCCTCCATTTTCAACCACAGTTTACACAAGAATTAGACATTAATTAAAAGAAAACCAGTAATATAAAAATAAATAAATAAACAACAAAAATATAAAAATATAGTACCTGACAAATCTGTATCAGGCTTCTCGGGCTTCTCGTCCCAAACAACGACATCCTTACCGCCAATCACCGGCACCATAACCGGAACAGGGAATCCAAAACCTCCAGCGACCGGACGGGGAGATGACGTGAGCGAGCTGGAAGCACCTTCGGCATCGAATCTCCGACAGGAAAAGCTACTGCTGCTACAACTCTCGGACTCGCTGACGTCAGCGCTGAGAGAGTAGCTCCCGCACCTCTCGCTCTGCTGATCAGAGGCTTCGTCATCGGAGGTCACGCTCCCCATTGCGTTCGGCGATTACTGATCAAGATCGGACGGTTGAGACCAAAGAGTAAAGAGCGAGAAAAAAAGCAAAAGGAAAGAGAAGAGAGACTGTGTTTCAGCTCGTTCGTTGGTTCCTTCACATTATAGTACTTTTTTTTTGGTTTTTTCTTTCTTTTATATCAACTGTAGTCTGGTCAGTGGTGAAGAGTGAGGTGATTCTGATTCTGTTTTTGTTTTTGTTGTTTTTAAAAGAATGTGTTGTGGTTGTTGCGTGTGTGAAGTTGTAGTGATGATGAGGCTGGGCTGAGAGAGATGATGGTGGGAGCAAAAGCAAAAAGCAGAAGCAGACGGCGTTTGCAGATGTTGTCTTTCCGTAACTGCTGGGTTCACCACCCGACACGCCCCTTTTCTGTGGGGTCCGTCCGTCCGTCTTCTATTTCTATTTTTTTTTTATTTTACTTAAATGTCTTTTTTGCTATAATCGTCTTTTTCCACATAGCCAACCCTCGAATCCAAGAGATCGTACAT